CAAGGTAGTATATTATCTGGAAATATCTAGGTTTTTAGAAAGCTGCAGTCTCCATCCCTGAGCCATGGATTGTACATTTCCATGGCCTGTTAGCCCCACAGGAGGTGAGTGGTGCAGACAAGAAAAGCTTCACCTTTATTCATAGCTGTTCCCACCACTGGCATCACCACCCTAGCTCTGCTTCCTACCAGCAGCTTTAGATTCTCACAGGAGCATGAACCTACCGTAAACTGCACGTGTGAGGAGGCAGCTCAGGGCTCCCACCGATTCTGCATTGTGGGAGATGTATAATTATTACATTATATATTATAAGTGTGATGCATTTGAATTATTCGGAAACCACCTCCCCATCCTCCACCATACTTAGAAATACCGTCTTCCATGAAACCCGTTGTTGGTGCTAGATGGTTGGGAACTGCTTCTTAAAAGCATGCATATCTCACCTACAGGGAGGGCTTTTAGAGGGAGAAGGGTTTGGCACCAAACAGTAGCACATTAGGAAGAGGACTTGGAGACACTAAATTGTCAGGTGTCCACAGCAGAACACCAATACACTTGTGAACAGAAAACAATGGGTGAAGCTGCTCCCTTGAGTTCCTCTTGAGTCTTCTTCCACTTATATATCTAGTACGATGTTGATAGAATCTGCTTTTGCTAATTGTGCCATCTTTTAAGGACCAATTCTTGGTATTTCCTCCAATGAAATATTCTCTAATAACACCTTGCTGAAGGGTCTTTCCTCCTTTCAACTCCACAATAAATGTAAATGAGATAAAAAATAGAACATAGATCAGATGACTTAGGGTGTTTTGTAACCTGTTAAAAATATAGTTTTATAGGCAAGAACCATCACTGCTTTTATTTAGCCTTCAAAACCTAGGACAATAGTTATCGTGAACTGCACATTACAGCCTGCCAAGGGTTGGTTGAGGTAACAAAAGAAATAGTTCTATGAATAGTCAAAGATAACATAAAACTTACGCTGAATTCCTAATGTAAAATATCTGAAGTTATCCAATTGGTAACAGTCATTTTCACATTTAGATTCCAAAGTAATATGTAATAGTTTTAAAAAATCTCTGACACATATAACCATAAAACAAAAGGAATAAGAAACCACGAAGATGACAGAATTACAAAAACTTTTCAGTGGCATAACCATTTTGATGGCATATTCTTTTTTTGTTAATACATCAAAAACTGATTTTTGGTAAAAGTCAGCAGAAAGTCTGTCCTCTAGAAACCTACAATTTACTTTAGAAAAGATAGTTGTGTGATCAGACAGACTTATTAATGTTTAGATGTAATTAAGAAGGATGTAAGACCAGGTGAGGTGGTTCACACCTGTAATCACAGCACTCTGGGAGGCCGAGGCCAGCAGATAGCTTAAGCTCAAGAATTCCATACCATCCTGAGCAAGAGTGAGACTGGGTCTTTACTAAAACCAGAAAAATTAGATGGGTGTGGTGGTGGGGACCTGCAGTCCCAGCTACTTGGGAGGCTGAGGCAAGAGGATCGCTTGAGTCCAAGAGTTAGAGGTTGCTGTGAGCTGTGATGCCACAGGACTCTATTAAAGGTGACATAGTGAGACTCTGTCTCAAATTTAAAAAGAAAAAGGATATAGATAGTGCTAAGTAAGTAAAAGTATAAGTTCTGGGAAGTTAAATGTATTATGACATTTTAACAAGTCTTCTAGTAGGACAATGAAATGCAGGTAAAGTATGGAATATTTTTTGGGGGGGTGGTGAACGTAGCAGTTCCAGAACACACTTGATTTGAAAACAGGTGCCAGACTGGAAAGTTATACTGGAGAAAACTGTGGGAATCAAGAGTCACGTCCTTTTCAATTCAAGTTTCACATTTGTTCATACTTAAAAACAAGTATACAGTTTAATTTGTTCAATGTGTATCAAACATCTGCATAAATAATATTCCAAGTCTCAAAAAACTCCGTAAGTCTGTGTGGGTTAAACATGAGGTTCTGCCTCTGTGGCTGTGTTTGAAAAAATAAAGTTTTATTAGAATAGAAAAAAATAATATTCCAAGTCTTTCCAGGTCTATGACATCTGTTCCATGTATGAGGCCGAAGCAAGTTATGAAGATTTTTCAACAAGGCTATGCAAGAATATAGTAATAATAATAATAACCAGTTTGTACTTGGTAATGATCCACTAGACAGGCTCAAAATGTTTAGACCCTGATATCTTTTTCTAGGAGTTTAAGTGAAATATATTAATCCAAGATAATTTTTAGAAAAGATGCTTTGAATTATAACTTCAGTTCTAACATATTAATCTACTTAAACTGTCTGTATCATTATTGTTATAAGTTCATATCATAATTAGTAATTATTAGCACTATTTAACATGCTGTGGTTGGCATGACAGTGTAACCAAGTTCATTACAAAGCTGCACAAGCGGGCTTGGCCATCCCATTTCTTGGGGGCTTCTAAAATGGAATCTAATTTCTTTTCTTTGAAAGTCAAAAATGTTTACATTGGACAAGTATAAATATAGTACATTTAATAGATCAATGCAAGGCAGAAACTTGCTTCCACAGAGAATTAACCATGGCTATTTCAGTAAACTGACAACTCCCATGAAGAATGCTTCCACAAGTGACCACTAGGGGTGCCCAAAGTATTTTTATTTTGCAGATTAGTCGCTTCAGGGATGCACCCCATATAGTTCAGTGGCTCCAAAGGATCCATTACAACTATTTTTTGCAATAATTATAAGATGAGGGGCTTATTTGGGTCACCATGAATAACATCAATGAAAAGATTAAAACTATTTCAGTGAAAATGACGAAGAGATCCAAGAGCCAGGGACGTTATTTCTATTATATTTTAAATAAAAATCTAATCATAGAAAAGCATAATTTCCTCCTCACCCCACAGCCAAACATATTCAAACATATCCTAGGTTCAGTTGCATGACTGAAACAAATAAAAAATAACAATTTAGTCACTGTGTCCATTCCATACAACTTACGGGAAATCACTTCTGAAAGACCATTACATCACCACATGCCAGGGAGCGATTAGTTAACATTTCATTCATCACAGAGGGTTTTGGTATAGTCGGCGGCAAGTCAGATATGCAACAGTGAGAGAGACAGAACAACAAAATGCAGCCAAAGTTTTATCAAATGGAATCCCTGGTATTTTTTTTTATTTTTAGGCTGGGGCTGGGTTTGAACCCACCACCTCCGGCATATGGCTACTCCTTTGAGCCACAGGCGCCACTCAAGGAATCCCCAATTTTATTAAAATCTTATTTTTCATTAACCCTCCCCTTAGCATGAGGCATCAGGACAGGAACAGGCAAATCAAAGCCCTAAGATTTGCCCAAAGTTCAACACCCTTCACGTATACCCCAGACAATCAGATCATTAAAACCTCATACGCAAACCTTTGCATTAACAATTGACTCAGCAATAATTGATACAAACAAGACACAGACTCCGTGAATCCATGAATCACACACAAAATAGCACAATTTTAAGTATCAAGAAGACGAAAGGTTAAAATAAGGAAAGCTTTCCTAAGTACGAGAAAAATAATCCTCGAAATCTACCATTTTTGTTTTCAGACTTTAATATGTTTAGTTTTATAAAAGCTACAGTTTGCCTTATATTTTAAAAAGTCCTTGAATAACAGAAAGAAAAGAATAAGGTGATGGTTTATAGTAAATAAAAGTCTTTGTCACTGATTTCTGAGAAAACCATGGTAATAGTGAACAAAGATTTAAGAAATACATAATATTTAGCCAACTGATCAAGAAATTTAATATAATTTAAATCTTCTATAGTACAAATCCCTATATATCAGTCTCCTTAGAATAAAAAATCTTTTTTCTTATCCAGTGATATTATATGGCATCTTAATTTACATTATTTTAGAATAGCTCTTAGGTAATATTTTAGATAGCTTAAATGTACTTAATTAATTTCATACAGTAGTTAGCAGACAATTTTTTTTTCCCCGTTTTTTACACGGGCCGGGTTTGAACCCGCCACCTCCGGTATATGGGGCCAGTGCCTTACTCCTTTCAGCCACAGGTACCACCCAGCAGAGAAATTTTTTCCCATTATTTTCCAAGGCCAAAATAATCCTTCATTGATAAGCTTTTGATTAATGACTATATAATTATCTATGAATTTAATTTTTATTTCTTTTTACTCCCCTCCACTGTTAGAAAATAACTGTTGGCAGTAAAAGAATTTTCCTGCAATTTTTGGAAAAATGTTTTGTTTTTGAGTATTGCAGAAAGCATAATTTAGTCTTTCATGGAATGAACCCAGGTTTAGTGAACACTATCAAAATAGCTACACACAGATTAGATCATGAAATTTAATAAATACTCTAATAAGTTCTAATATCTTCCAAATGCTATTCGTGTGTGTGTGTAGTTTCACTTCTTTAAAATTAGGGTTTTTTTATGATTAGGCAACATCATTTGCATTTTTTTTAATTTCTTATAGCATAACTATGTACATTAATGCACTCATGGGGTACAGTGTGCTGTTTTCATATACATTTTGAAATACTCTCATCAAACTGGTTAACATAACCTTCATGTCATTCTCTTAGTCATTGAGTTAAGACATTCACACTCTGCTTTTAGAAAGATTCACTTGTACCATTGTAAGATAAATCATAGAGGTGACCCCACCAATCACCCTTTGCATTTCAAAGGTAAAGTTCAAGGTGTAGTTAAGTCCTTAACTACACCAGTTAAGGTGTTAAGTCCTTAACACCTCACCTTGTTCTGCTGGGTGAGAGTTTACCTGTCAGCCCCCCCACCCCCTCACCCCCGTTTGTTATCTCACATGCTAGCACTTGGGTGATATGGGGAATAGACAGACGTGAAATAAGTATTTCAAATTATCCTGAAATCCACAGCCCTGTTCTTGTTCTTACCCATGGTCACCAGATGTCACACAGACGCACGTTAAGGTTTTATTACATGTGCAAAGAATATTCGAAGAGTCTTACCTTTGAGACATAATCTTATAGGCATCTGGCAGGTAACACCGGATATTCTCCATCTGAGCAGGGTCCGAGTCACAGATCTTGTCATCCGTCCGCCCATAGTTGGCACTTTCGATCATGATGACGTCTGTCCCCGGACAGCGGAGCTCTATGGGGTAACTCTCACAGGACAGCTCTCTGCGGACCACGGCCATGGGAATGGGGGCACGGCTGAAAGCTGCGGGGAGGGGGAGGACGAGAGGGGAACCGTCTTTACTACACAGAAGCTAAATTGCATGTGTTTGGGGAAAACTCATACCAAGAAGTAAGTAGGTAAGAGTCACAATTTTAATTAAAATAGAGTATTTCTCATTGTCGCAACTTTACAGAAATAGCCATTATTGCTTAAAAACTTTCACTCATTCTCTTCTTATTAATGGAAAGACCCTTGTGTCGAGTGAAAACTAAATAAAAATATCACCCAGTTTAGAGAGTAAGATTCTTAGATAAATCTCATGGGTATTTATTTTCTTTTCTCATTTTTTAAAATAAGGAAATGATCACCAAAAAATTGTTCTGTTGTGGACGCTAAATACACTTATGTAAGGCGGGCACAGTGGCTCGCACCTGTAATCCTAGCACTCTGAGAGGCTGAGGCGGGTGGATCTCTTAAGCTCAGAAATTTAGACCAGCCTGAGCAAGAGTGAGACCCCCATCTGCACTAAAAATAGAAAACTTAGCTGGACAACATGCTGGGCACCTGTAGTCCCAGTGACTTCGACTGAGGCAAGAGGATCGCTTGAGCCCCAAAAGTTTGAGCTTGCTGTGAGCTATGATGATGCCACTGCACTCTTCCCAGGGTAACAGAGTGAGACGATTTCTCCCAAATCAATAAATACACAAACTGATTTAAGTAAACCATTCTAATTCAATTGTAAAACATGCTCTTATTGCTTTAAGCAATAACTAATAATATCAGTATACTGTACGAGTTCATTATAGAAAAAAATATATGCTATTTATTGATAAAAACAGACATTTTTAGGGAGAAATATTACATTTGCCTTTAGGGCCTTTGTGCACTCTTCTCCTCCTGTCAAAAGGGAGCCAGATAATAATGTGGAGACCTGCCTGTTGTAATTTTCTATATAAAAGCAGGCAGGAGCTCAACCGTGTCCACCCACTCCTCTTTCCACATCAGGTCATTCTCCTTAGGTAGTTCCACACCACACACGTCATTTGATGCCCTTTCATTATCTTATCCATCAACTTAATGATATAGGATAGAGAATGTTTTGTATCTGGATAGCATTTCCTTCATTTAGTGGCTACATTTGATAAAAATGTATATAAATTATGTAATGGATCCTATGTTCACGGACGTGTAGGAAGGTCTTGGGATTCTTGTGTCACAGTACCACAAAGAAGTACACCTGTCCATGCAACTGGTTGTCATGGTTTGGGAAAGAATCTAATTACCCAAATATATTGCATGGTATATTTCTAGAAATGAAATGGATGAGTTAAAGGGGAGAGAACATTTAAAACCTGGCAAATATCAACATAGAGGTGACAAAAATGTACGCTTCTACCAACACCACGTTCTTCTTCAAAATTAAATACTATTGCTTCCTCTAAATTTTTCAATCTGACAGATGAAGAACCATATAACACCTTTATTATTTGTACAATAGAATATATTTTCATGTTTATTGGTCCTTTATATTTCTTAAATTTGTAAACTGGTTGCTTGCATTTGTGCAAAATTTGCTGTTGTAAAAGTCCTTTGTACAGCAAAAAAGTTAAACTTGTGTCCTTTATATATGCGGCAAATATGCTTTTCAAGTTTTTTGTTTCACTTTAGATATCTGCTGACCACATATTTTTAACTTTTATAGGGGAAACTATACTTTTTTTTTTTTTTTTGGCCGGGGCTGGGTTTGAACCCACCACCTCTGGCATATGGGGCCGGCGCCCTACTCCTTTGAGCCACAGGCACCACCCCAGAAAACTATACTTTCATGTGAAGTTTAGCAGTTTCCCACCCCCAGACTAGGAACACAACCAGTACATCCCTGGAAGAGAGTCAAATGTTTAATTGTGGTAAAAACTCGTGCTTCTTTGACAAGCATGTAATTGAAATTCTAAATGAAGTGTTTACCAACTGTCAAATAAGATGATTTCCACTTTAAGAGAATCAGTTCTAGAGAAGCGTGAGGGATAGCTTAAATTGGCTGCGATAGTTGACTCACTGTCACGCACATACATGTAAGACACGTGTTCACATAAACACGTGTGAGTTCTCCGTGGCATGAAATGTGAAGAGAGAATACAGGAGAGGGAAGGAGGAAGAGGGAAGGGTTGGGGAGGAGAAATTTTATAACTTTAAATATTTTCACTTGAAACTGAAAGCAGTGATGTGGTTCAGGAAACACATCTCTAACTTCAAAATTGAGAGTGACGTGAGTTAGCACCTCCTTTGTGGATTTTAGAAAAAATGATAACTGTACCATATACTTCCTGCATAACTCCGCAGGGAGTCACTCAGTTCTTCAAGCTACACTGCACAGTTAAAGCCATTCTGCTTTTTATTTTTATTTATTTGTTTTTTGTGATGGGCACCTGTAGTCCCAGCTACTCAGGAGGCTGAGGGCAAGAGAATCACCTAAGACCAAGAGCTGGAGGTTGCTGTGAGCTGTGATAGCACTGCACTCTACAGAGAGCAATAAAGTAAAAAATAAAGCCATTCTGACTATCATTCAGCGACTTGCTTGATGCCTCTGTGGCTCTCTCTGTCTTTGTGGCTGTCTCTCATGCACACATCCATGTACGCACAAGCTCACAGATGAAATCAGCACATCTACAGAACTGATAAGGGAGTTAACATAACCAGAGGTCAGTTGTAACTTTTTATAGTTCGTTCTCTGGTCAACATTTTAGCAGGGTATTCTCACTGAACTTCTGAAAGCTGCACTTCTACAGCTCCTATGATAGAATTCTTTGCTTATCATTCAGAAACTGCAGGGTTCTTTAAGTATGAAGTCCTCATCAACACTGAGATACTCTTTTCATGGATAAAGACATTTTCACTCACGTATTCCAATTTTTACATAATGGATCACTGAATTAAAAAAAAATGCTCCCATTTGAAAATTCAGTTTCCAGATTTTGGTTATTTTTAAGTGGAATGACAGAGATGTTTTTGCAGCTCTCCAGAGGGTTTCACAATTTAGCTGTCTGCACATTTGTGAAAGAGATAAGTTGATTCTTAACTTGGTATAATCATTTTTTAAAAAATCACATTGAAACGGCTTCCAAATTTTGAATTCATCTGGCTATACCATGTATTATGTTGACTTAACTAGTCAATTAAGTTAAAAAAGAAAAGCAAGTTAATTTAACAAAGAAATAACAAATAAGCAAATCATCCTGTCAGGGCATTTGTTTGACGAAGTGGACAATTTGGTTGATTACACTCATCAGTCAATTCTGTCAAAACACTGACATAGCTCTAATCTGGGTCTCCACTGTCAAAAATATCATTTGCAACACCAGGCAGTTGCAAAGTCAACTAAAATGAGGAGCTCTAGATTTTTCACATGTATCTTTTCTGGACCTGTAAGACGTTTTAAGGAGAAGCAGAATGATGTGTAAATACTTTCTCCCACTTAACACAGAATTGCATTGGTATCAGCAACCCAGCGAATTGCATTACAAAAATGATGGCATGCTTTGTTTAAAGAAATGTTTCCTGGAAACCAGCCTACAAAATTATCTAATTAGGTATTTAAATTATCTTTAATTAGATTGCTAAAGTTTTTAATCAGCAACCAAAGTCCAAGGGGGGAAAATGGTTTAAGTCAAAAGTAAAGTGACTTTATCATTCGTATATCATGCTATCGAGGGAAAGATTTTCATTATGGGAGAAAAAGGCTAAGACACGGAAAATGCCCATGATTCCAGTGCAGAGTTCCCAGACAGCCGGCTGCATGTTTTATTGGTCCAGGCATTGTGAAGTTAATTACGACAAAATCATCTGGCATGTACAAGCCTTCTTGAGTTCCTTCCCACTTTTACCCCATGAGGTAATCTGTTATAACAAGGAATACAATGTCAGCTACTAAGTACGTAATAGATATTCACTGAATAAATCAGATTCCGTTTACATGTGAAATGTGGTAGCCTTTGGAGAGGATGCAGGCAGCACTTTGAAGCCACTCAGTAATGATGGGATGACCTAGAGAGACGTGAACTAACAAATCCTCTGCTGAAGATCACCAGAACCTGAGCAAGTCCCCAAATTCCAAAGCAGACACCCACGTAAAACCTGCCCTTGACCAGGTATTAATTATGAAGAATGTAAGTAAAAGGAAATATAAAATAATAAAAGAAAAGGCTTTCTGTTCGTGCCTGTTTTCAGCAGAAACCACTCCCATCCTTTCCTTCTTTGCTGGGACTCCAGCTCCCCTGTTCTTCTGACTCTCTCGCTGGGCTTTCCCCTCATTGTTAAACAGGCTATTTGGGATGTGTGACCAGGACGGTGAAGGCCAATGAACGCCTGTGTGATAATAACTAAAGATGTAAGCCTTGGGGACAGGTGTCTGGGGGCCGGAAGCAGGTGGCCAAATGGGAGTCTAAGGATCCATCCTATTCCCCAAAGACAGGGGTGAGAGACCTGCCAGGCTAACCCTGGGATGTGACAGGAGGACTTCCAAGGAAGGGAACGCTCTTTGTGACATATACGACCAAGGGTATCAAGATGGAGGACGCTGGCGGGTCAGAGTGAGTCGCCTCCAGCTGACTGAGGGAAGGGACCCTGATTCCAGGACAGATGAATGAAGCACTTCTCTCTCTCCCCGGGGCCAAGCCTTCAATGTCCTGTTCAATTTGGGGTTTTTTCATGGATTGTTCTACATACTCAGTGATCCAGTCAAAAACTAAAGGGCACAGCCTAATTAATTTCCATAGAATGGAGACCAAGATCCTCAGCCTGTTCTATTTGTGTTTCTTTGTGATCATAAAACAGCTTACATGTATGTTTACTTCCTATGTCATCCGCATCAGGCTTTGCTTACACCGAAACTCCAAATCTTTTTATTTATTTCTATATTTTAAATAGATTAAGGCCAGGTGAGGTGGCTCTTGCCTATAATCCTAGCACTCTGGGACACAGAATGGTGGGAGGGCCCCTGGAGCTCAGGAGTTCTAGACCAGCCTATGCCAAAGTGAGACC